CACTGGTCATGAAGAGTTGTTGATTAAGTGGGTAGGGTTGCCTGAGGCGGATTGTACGTGGGAGTGGAAGAGCATGATTGCAACGCAATTTCCTGATCTTGACCTTGAGGACAAGGTCAGTTTGAATGGAGGGGGTAATGTTACATATGAGGCCTTGAGGCCACCAATACTTTACCAATACCATAGGAGAGCCCAGAGGAAAGGCCCATTTGGAGAAGATAATCAGGAGAACTTGAGAAGTGAAGAGCACGTGGGGGCAGAGCGAGTGAAGGGATAAGGAAGGGAGGATGATCTTCATAGCAACGGCCTCAGCACACGCACAGGGAATGCTAGTGACGTGGCTGCTGCTTTATGGTATTTACCTTTATAAGAGTAGTAGGGAATAAGGAGTTTGTTATCGAGAGAGAGGATCGATCTAGTGAGAGGAGAGAGAGTACTCCTAGCAAAAACTCTAAACATTTGTATTTGCTTTTCTTGTTATTGAAGGAATATCTTTAACTTTCTTTACAAGTTTGAGCTTTTACAATTTGATCGTAACATCCCGCCAATAAATTATGGTGTAGATTATGCGATATTAATGGTTAACTAGATGATACCCATGCGTATGCGCGGAGTGAGTTTTTTATATTAATGTTTGTTCGATTTAACATTTTTGTAACACTATATTCTTTATTGATTATAAAATAACGAATACAAATGTTGGTCTCTTAAATATATCATATGTCTGGGCATTTGGGGGACCCTTCGGTTTTGGTTCGATTGATTCAGATTTTCAAATTTTTGGTATTAGGCTTTTCAGACCCATTAAGATTTTACGAATTATCGGATTAGTTTGGTTCCTTCCAGATTAGGTTTGGATCGGATTGTAACAAAAATCTGAAATCGTCCCAAAAAATATATTTGCCACCTTAAAAATTGACAAAAAAAAATCTGCAGAATATATAAATTGTCCGTAAATCTAATTTAAAATTAGTTAAACTATCTAAATCTAAATGATATTAAAAATAAAAAATAAAAAAACTACAAAAATACTTTGAATACAATAAAATATCTAAATTACCTTGGTATATAAAAAATATTATACTAATTTCAGATATCTTTGGACCTAGTTTGGATTTCGGTTCAGATTATAATCAAATCACAAAATACTAAGATCATAAGTCTTGTTTATTACAGCTACATTGCGTATTATAGATAAATAAATAGTAAACGGAGGTGACTAGACTTGTCATGATATTTCAGTAAAAAAATTTTAGGAATAAATATCAAGACTAAACTATTTAATTTGAATGAAATGATATATATATATATATATATATAGGGCTTCTAGTATTAAAAATCACTACGATTTGAAAAAAGTGTAATTCGAAGAGTGTCAGGATCAAATAAACATATTAGACACTACCTATTTAAAACTTAATTTATATACATAAAAATATATACATTAAAGTAAGTACATAAATCAAAACTAATACCTTTTGTTAATTTACAATCATGTTTTTGGTAAATAAATAAAAACAACCATTTAGTTTACTTTATATTATATATAATTAAACGTTATTGATATTGATATATATATATATATATATATATATATTATTTGACATTTCCAATTCATATGATTTTATTAACATTTATATATTTTTCTCTAACAAAAATTTAAATAAATCACAAATATTTTAATGTGAGATTGTTCCAATACAAATTTTAAAATTAAAATATTAAAATTTCAATAAATGTTCACTATAAATTTTGAAATTAACATATATATATATATATATATATATATATATATATAGTATATCATTTAATTTAAATGATATTGATATATACATATATATATATATAATATGAATATGTATTAATGAGACTTTATATTTATACGATTTATAATCATTTATATCTTACTTGAACAAAAAGAAGTTAAACCAATGATCAAAAATTTTCAATGTGGGAGTTTTACCATTTTTAATAATTTATAGTCGTTTCAAAAATTTCTAAACAGAACATATTAGAAAAAAAATCTATTTTTTCTTATATGCTTAATGTGATTGTTCAATTATTTTTAATAATATAAATTAAAGAAAAAAGAGAAATGATACAAAAATTGTTATCAAATATGTATTATTCATAATCATTAATCATCGTATATATGTTAATCATATTAGGTAATTTCATAGTTTTATTTAAGGAAATAAAGAATATTTGTTTCTACACTAATAACTAATATGATAGTTAGTTTAATAAAAAGTATAATATATAATTATATCCAACATATTTTTCTAAGGATTCTAAGAGTTATCCTAGTGATAAATAAAATAAAAAAGCTAAAATTGCAGCATCAATCAATCAAGAAATAAAGTTCAAAATAGGACAAAGACAAGTTTTTGTCCTCAAACTAGCACCCAAACCAAAATTCACAAAAATAGTTTTCATTAAAGTGATGATTTATCCTTATGCTCATTCTTTAACTAATTAAAAATGAAAGATTAATGGATGATTTATCCGTATGCCACTTTTTTGACTAAAATACTCTAAAACACTAAACCTTGAAACTTCAGCTCTAAACCTTAAACTTCCACTTTAAACTCTAAAACATCAATTGTAGAACCCTAAACCTTGAAACTTCAAATTAACCATAAATCTTAAAACATCAATTTTAAAACCTAATCACTGAAACTTCAACTATAAACCCTAATCCTGAATCTTCAACTCCAATTCATAAACCCTGAAATATCAACTCTAAAACCCTAAACCCTAAAACTTCAACTCTAAACCCTAAACCCTGAAACATCAACTCTAAAACCCTAAAACCTGAAATATCAACTCTAAACCCAGAATCATCAACTCTAAAACCTTATACCCTGAAACTTCAAATATAAACCCTAAATCCTGAAATATCAACTTTAAAACCCTAAATCCTGATGTTTTACCTTTAAACCCGTAAAACATCAAGTCTAAAAAACCCTAACCCTGAAACTTCAACTCTAACCCCTAAACCCTGAAATATCAACTCTAAAACCCTAAACCCTGAAACTTCAACTCTAAACCCTAAACCCTAAAACATCAACTCTAAAACCTTAAAACCCGAAACTTCAACTCTAAACCCTAAAACATCAACTCTAAAACCTTAAACCCTGAAATTTCAAACCTACCCTAAATCCTGAAACATCAACTCTAAAATCCTAACCCTGATGTTTTACCTCTAAACCCCTGAAACATCAACTCTAAAACCCTAAACCCTGAAACTTCAACTCTAAACCCTGAAACATCAACCCTAAAATCCCAAACCCTGAAACTTTAACTCTAAACCCTGAAACATCAACTCTAAAATCCTAAATCCTGAAACTTCAACTCTAAACCTTAAACCTTGAAAATCCAACCCTAAAACCCTAAACCCTGAAGGTTAGAGTTGAGGTTTTCTGGGTTAGGGTTTAGAATTGAAATTTAGGGTTTAGAGTTTATGTTTTAGGGTTTAAAGTTGAAGGTTTAGGGTTTAGGGTAATTTTATAGGGTTGAGGGTTTTGAGTTTTTTTTAGTGTTTAGGGTTTTGTGTTGATGATTTTGGGTTTAGAATTCAGGTTCAGGGTTTAGAATTCAAGTTTTGGGTTTAGGGTTTGGATTTAAATGTTTAGGGTTTAAAATTAGAATTGTGATTTAGGGCTTAGGTTTTAAGGTTTAGAGTTTATTTTTTTGGTTTAGGGTTTAGTGTTGATAGTAAGGTTTAGAGTTGAGAATTTAGGGTTTAGATAGGTTTAGGGTTTAGTGTTGATAATAATGTTTAGAGTTGATATTTTAAGGTTTAGGATTTTTTTTTTTTTAATTGATATGTTCTTTTTTTTAATTGATATGTAAGGGTATCAAATTCTTTTATTCTGTTAAAAATATCATTTTTGTGATTTTCAAGTTGAGGTGCTATTTTTGAGATGAAATTTTTTTTTAAAATGTGTTATTTTAATTTGAAGAATTGCCCATCAATCAACCCATAATTCAATTAATTAAATTCTCTACTGTTAATATACCACATTGGTATAAAATCTATGATTATAATTTACTTAATTTCAAGTTTCTGTCACGACTTTGTACATATTTCCCTGAGTTAATGTAATTGCTTATGTAAATATACTCTCAATATATATCTCATTAATATTACACATACTTTATTTCCCATAATAATTACTCTTGGATCTTTGAAAAAATATTTTCTAATGTTCTTATACTATAGTCCCCTAAATTACGTTTGTGCCGAGTTATCAACAAAGATATTACGGATTCAGTAATATTAGAACTCTTAAATATTTTTTTTTTTTGGGAAATATGCCAATTTTGAAAAATTTACCTTAGCTATTGTTTCTTAGAACAAAATCATTTTTGGTGACTTTTAACTATGACTACACTTGTACTTTAAAAATATTCATATCAATTAATTGAGATACCAAAAGTAATAAAAAACAAAAAAAAATATGATCTTAACATACATGATCACTTATAAAAAATATAGTGATAAAAAATTAGGTTTGAAAGAGCAACTTCTATAATGCCCTAAAGTTGATAGAAAATGTGATCCACCATCTACAGCAAATTAGATAGTAGAATCTTCAAAAAGAACTACAGTCTAAAGATGTTAGAAAACGCAATATGTCAAATTTGCTCCTATGTACCTTCGTAGAGAATATAATCTAATAATTGTACTATTCTCTACAAGATGGTACATCACATCGTCTTCATTTTAGTCTTTTTCTACTATCGGTAATGTCTACATTCTATTACTTTCTATGTCAACTACTACTAGCAAAATGTTCAATCTACGATGTCTTCTATATCTTTCCACTGGTAGAATCTGGTTTTTGCCAGATTTATTTCAAAATTTCCGAAAATTTAACCTAAAAAACGGATAATAAATATTTGGAAGATTTTGAAAACATTTATTTTTTTTTACTTTCTTTTTAACAAATTTTGGCTGCAAATCCTAAAAGATGTTGTCTTCTTAAACGATCACTTCATCGTTTCTTCATCTCCAATCTGAAGTTCCCTGAGAAAAATAAGAGAGATATTGGATGCTTTAATATTAAAGACTGAAAAAAAACTTGCTTGGAAGTGAGAGACACTCAACTAGTTTGGCCCATGATTCTTAGGGAATGAAAGGCAAAGAGTAATTCTTGTGTTTTATACGGTCCTCATCAAAATTTACATCCCGTAAGAAGGGTCTTGAAATTTCATTGGGCCTAAATAAAGTCAATAGGGTTACCCATTCCTTTGGGTCATCAACCTTTACTTTTTGGGTTGGATCGAACCGGTATAGGTTCCTCAACTTCCCAAACGACTTTGCTCCAATCAACTTTTGCTGTTATCATCGACATAATTTTGTTAACTCGTTCATCCTCCTTATCATCATCCCTTTTGAAGCTTGCTTTAGCAATGACATCAATGTGTCCGGTATCAGATATGTATGGAAACACAACTGCATTCTGTAAAGACAAAACCAGAGAACATTAGTACTTATAAGTTTTAAACAAACAAAAAAAAATGGAAGTTTGTGATCACCTTTCCAAGTGCAGTTTCTAGGACAGTGATATCAGAGTAAGATACCTTTCCACGACCATACCAATTTTGACATCTCACAGTGGTTACGCCTTCTTTGTACTTGTGACCCAACAACCTTCCAATGTCCGGAATCGTCTCCATAAGCCAGATCTGTAGGGCGTAGGAGTATCCTGCTTATACCTTGCCTTCTCTATGGACTCCAGTAGTATATCATAAGCATGACCACCCCATGGATACTTCCTCATTTTATCAAAATCCATCACCAATTTTATGTATTCAAAAGGGATGTACGTCTTCTCATCCTTAGCCATTATAAAACCGTAAATAACACAAAGGTAAACTAGCCTCACTCAGTCCACACGCGGCCAGTTCTTACACTCCTTTAGATGCTTCAGCCTAATTTCCCTAATGCTTACATCTCTTTCTTGCCTAAGCAAAATACTCCAAAACCCCTTATCAAATGTCCAGGACTGAAAATCAGTGTCGTTGTCTGCTTCGCATTTGAGACCAGTCACAGCGTAGAACTCTTGTATAGAAAACCGTAAAAGCTTCATAACAAAGACAAACCATAACTCATGACACTTTGAAATATTGAGCTGTGAATAACCCTAACCGAGTATCCAAGCTGATGCTCATTAATAGTCAAAATTGGACCAAAGATAGGATCTATCAAAACATCATTATACTCATCCTTAAGAGATTCCTTTATTGTCTGCAGGATTGTAACCCTACAAGTGTTATTGATCTTTTCAATATGATGTTCAACTCCTGCTTCAGCTATGCATTTTGGAAGATCGATTTCCATTCATGTAGACCACGAAATCACAACATGACATGTCTCTTCAACCAAAACATAGGAACCCATGTTTCACAAGATGGAATCAATCAGACACAAACAATATCAAACGAAAAACAAACACATAAATAAATTTAAGCCTTTTTTACATCCCATTAAGCTCTCGAATCAAAATGAATTATAACTCAAATCGTTTTCTTGCATAGAAGGTGTGATATAATGAAACCCTAAACCTTAATTTCGAAAAGGATGAATGGTGCTGGAGGAAAGATCACAAGGAGTAGAGCTAAAGGTTACAACCGCCGAGGATTAGTTCGCCGACGAAGCTGATTCTCGATTCCTCTTTCCGTCGGCGGAGAGAACGAGATGAATGAGCAAAGACCTCACCGCGGAGAGGAAAAAGAGAAGAAGGAAGAGGAATGAAGATGTCTCGTCGACGATAATGATTTTACGCCAGAGATGACAAGTTCGACATAATCACCATCGATGTAGAAGAAAAAGGTGTAGTTCTATTTTTCCTCTCGATGAAGAATAATATTCACTTTTTCTAACTTTTGTTTTATTTAAATTATTATGTAAAATTGATTTGTTTTATTAATATTGTTTATTTACTAATATAATTATGTAGGGCTAATTTTGGATTAACAGTAAAATATAATTCTAAGTGCACAGCATTCTCAAAAACTATTCCAAGGGGACATCAATTCACCGTTTGTGTTCCAAAATACCAAAGTCTGTTTTTTTTTTGAAAAAGATATTTTGTAAATATTCCTACTCACTTAAGGGAAATCTTACAGTTACTGTATAAACTCTAATTCATAGAGATGGCAATTGAGGGCTTGGACTATGGGCCTGGCCAAATAAGACTTGGAGCAGAACGGGTTTGGTCAAGCATATTCCAGGCCAAATTTTAGCGGGCGCCGCTGGATGTCACTGTGCAGAAATGGGCTTTTGTGGGATAGACCTTGCGGGTTTTGCGGGTTTTTCTGAGACATCCTGGGATCCATCACAATTCTTCACTTCGTCTCTTCAGCTGATGATAGACAAAACAAAACAGAGAAAAAATAGCGATTCTTCGATCCATCACAACAACTCATTTCCTTCTTTCCATTCACTTCATGCATGTTATTCATCTTGTCATTTGATTAATGTATTGTTTTCTTCTCCTCTTCATCTTCTTTCTCATCTTTTGAGGTACGATTCATGAACAAGGGCTCTTTTGAGTTTAGATAGAACATCTGCATACTCACGTAAGCAAAAAATTAAGATTTGTGGCTTTCTTGCTTACTGTCGATTTAATCTTTAAGGAAAGAACAATTATTCTTGGCTGTAAATATATCCTGCCAATTACATGCTATTTAGGGAAAGAAGAACAAGATAGCGTTTAAATTAAAGCAAAATGAAGTTGAGAAGATCCATAACAGAAGGTTCATATCGAGAAGATCCTATTTGGTTGTGTAAGTTCTTCTCTGCCTTTTGTCTTTTATCAAGAAGCTTTATCATTCAGGGCTTTTATTTTTAATGTTTTGTCTCTTCTCTAAAACATGTGTGTGAGTTGGAAGGTCTGTCCTGATTCTATAGGTCATGTGGTGTTCATATTTTCTGAGTTATTGATAGGTTATTGGTGATAGGTTTAGTAGTCTGATGAAGAAGAAGATGTCTTGTTCTGTATTAAGACATGTATATGTTGTCTTGGTAGTAACATGTATACTAGTCTTATTAGAAACATGTATATATGTATATGTTGTTGATTAGTCTTGTCAATGCTATATGTGCTATCTGTTATGAAATTTGGTCTCGGTCCTGTGGAAATATATAATCAAGTTCAATGACTCTAAATTTCTTACTTTACTAGATTAACACTCGTTACATTTCTTTCCAAACTACAGCCAACAAACAACATAGTACAAAGCATTTACAACAACTAATCCTAACAATAATAAGAAACAAAACATTACGACTGTAAACAAAGTCATTTAGAATCCAATTCGAACTTGCATCCACAAAGCATACTGAACATGTTCTTTTGGCTTGTGCAGGCAATGGAAGATCATACGTCCCACCAATGTCATGCCTAGGGTCTTTGCGGGTTCTGCAGGCTAACCCGCAAAGACCCATACATATAGCGTGACGGATTTGGTCAGCCATTCCGAAGACTACGTCCCGTGTGAACCTGACACGCTGTGACCAGTGTCGGTTCTTATCCATGGCAACATGGGTATTTTCCATGGGTCCATGGATCCATAATTTTTGTTCTTTTATAGGTTCATTCAAATCTGTTAAATTATCAAAAAGACTTATAATTAAGTAAATTTAATTTACTTATTAAAAAAAATCTATACTTTCATCATTATTAACTAAAGATAGAAAAAGAGAGAAAGAGAAACTGAGATCTGTTTTTTCCGGCCGGCGGAGGGGCTTCCACAGCCTCCATCGGTCCCGCGTTATATTTCTCTGTCTGTCTTGTATCCTTTGTTCAATTTGATGTACTTGTTTTGGAGAGATAGGAAGCAGTTTTTTTTTCCTTTAGTTTGGTTTCTGGGTGATGGAGGCTTTTATAGCTTCAATGTTGCCGGTCCTTGTCTCCGAGGGGTGGAGGCTCTCTTAGCTCTGCATCGTCGGCATCAGTGGCTGTTGGTGTCAAAATCGGTCACGACGGAATCAATGGCTAAAAGATCACGCAAGAAATAAAAACACGTTTTATAAAAATCGAGAAGTCGTTTTATAAAACTCAAGAAGTCAATTTATAAAACTCGAGAAATCGTTTTATAAAAATCGAGAAATCGTTTTATAAAACTCGAGAAATCGTTTTATAAAACTCAAGAAATCATTTTATAAATTCTAGAATTCGTCTTATAAAACTCGAGAAATCGTTTTATAAAACTCGAGAATTCGTTTTATAAAACTCGAGAAACCGTTTTATAAAGCTCCAGATGTCGTTTTATGAAACTCAAGAAATCGTTTTATAAAATTAAAAAGAAGTTTCCAAACAAAGGAAATCCGCGGAAAACTCGGATATCGTTATCTCGGAAGAACGAAACAAACGTCGATTACACGATCGTCCGAGTTAAGCACAAAACAGCGAAAAACCGCATCCGCCGTAAACCGCGACGCTTCCCGGATAGCTCGCCATACGGCGAGCTGAACCGGTCCGGTTCGGCTCGTCGTACGTCGAGCTGACCATCCCGAACCTTGATCTCCCACGTCCTCGATTCAAGGCATACGTCCTTCGGCATGATCGTGTTCCGAACCACGGTCGAAATGTCACTCGTTTCATCTCAATCCGTTCCATCGTTTGAGTTTGACGATAAAAACCGTAAAAGTCTTGTTTTCTTAAAAGAACTCTAGAAATCGTATAAAATGGCAACGGTTAAACGAAACACCAAACATTGCCTAACTATACGATCTGCTCGAGACTTTTCGTGAGAAATCGTAAAAAATCTGTTTTTAATAAAACCCCGAGTAAATCGTAGAAAACGGCAACGATTAACCGAAACATCGAACATTGCCTAGCTTTACGATTAACTCAAGAAACTTATTTTAAAAAAACGGCATCGCATCAGGAAACGATCTCGTATAAAGTCGTTAAACGGTTTTGTCGCAAAACGGTCCGGAAAGTCCTAAAACGTGATAAAAGCCTATCTCGCGACTTTAACGAAGTATAACCCGAAGATACGACGATTTTTTGACGATTTACTCGCAAAAAGAAGATAAATGTAAAATTTGAAGAGATATGGCAAGTTTGGAAATAAATACAAGATTTCCGCGGGAAAAAAAGGAAAGATAACGATAAAAGGAAGATTTTCAATAAACTCGAATCTGGGCGAAATGGAAGGACTAAACCACCAAGGAAGGGAGTATATAAGCAAGAGATATAGGACGGAAGCAGATAACGAATTTCAGAGCTCTCATCTGAGACTTTTACAACTTTTCTAGACTTAGAATTTTCCTCACTTAAAAACTTAGGATTTTTTCTCAACAAGTTCGGTTTCTATGACTGGCGCTCAATTACTAGACGAACTCGCCCAGGCAGTTCGATCTCTGGTCCAGCTCTATCAACTGAACTACGTTTGACTTGATCCTCGAAAAATGTACGTAGGCAGCCTTTCATAAGGTTCAGTCCAAAATCAATGAAACCCTTTTTCTTATCTTTTTCCGTCTTTTGTTATCGAGCTGCGACTCGACTAGTATTAAGGTTTTTATATTGATAACTCGCTGATGGCCCTGCAGCCAAATAATTTGTAAACCCTTGTAATGATCGCAATGCTCTTACGCGAAATCGAAATAAGATCTACTTTTTCTGTAAATTTGTTTTATTACGTTTTTCATATTTTTCCGCATTTAT